TTCTTCTTCTTCTTCTTCTTTTTTTCTTTTTGAGACAGGGTCTCACTATGTAGCCCTGTCTGGATGGAATTTATTACATACAAGAGGCTGTTCTCAAACTCTCAGAGATCTGCTCACTAACTCTGCCTCCCTCCCAAGTGCTGGGATTAAAAATGTGCACCACTATGAATTATCAAGGAAAAAATTCCTGTGAGCTCTGCCAGTATGCATCACAAATAAAAATGAAAGCAGATACAACTGTTGAAGCTCACTGATTCCATGGGACTGAGGAGACAGTTCTACTGGTAAAGTGTTAGCTCCACAAGCATGAGACCTAGGTTCAGAGCCCACGCCCGTTTAAAAAACATGCCTTGTAAATGGTAACCCCAGTGATAGGGAGGAAGGGATGGAGAATATCTGTGGCTCGCTGCTCAGCTGGCTCAGCCGAATTGGCGAGCCCCAGGTCCTGGTGGGAGATACTGTCCCAAAATTCAAGATGGAAGATTTCTGAGGAAGGGTATGCAGATTGATTCCACATCACACTCACACATAGACCTGTGTGCACAAACAGACTACATATACACAACTGTGTACACACACACAACTGTATAAATACAAACACAAAATTGCTTGTACACACAACTGTATACACATAAAACCTCATATAAACAACTATACACATACAACTGTATACACATACAACTGTACACAGTGCTGTATAAACATACAATTGCATACATACAAGTGTACACACCAATGTACACACATACAACTGCATGACACATCTGCACATACCACTGTATCCATACAAAATTACATATACACAACTGTACACACAATTGTGTACACATACAACTATACACATATAAATTGCACACACAACTGCATACACATACAACTGTATACATACACAACTGAATACACATAGCTCTACACATACAACTGTATACACAAACAGCTACATACACACACAACTTCACACACACAACTGAGTACACACAACTACACACACATAACTGAGTACACATACAACTGTACACATATACAACTGCATACCACAACAATATACATATAACTGTACACACAAACAACTACATACACATACAACTTCACACACACACATTAACTTCTACTATTAGCATAGAGTCAGATGGTATAGTCTTCACTGGGCTTTTGTGGGGCCATTGTCTCTATGACTCCAATGATAAGAAAATCCCGCCATGACCGTCGGGACACTTGATAACCCCACCACATACAATATCTATTCAAATAGTGCTAGGTAACATTGTCGAGGGAAGGATGGACGAGCAGAAAAAAGTTTGTACACATGTACCATAGACATAATTTGAGTCTCTGAATACTTGAGATCCAAGGCTTATTGAATTTATGTCAGTGGAATCCCACGAGAGCACCCACTGGCCTTTGAACATTTAGGGGAGAAATGAAGCACCAATGTTGTTTCTTTACCAAATGCTATCTAAAGCATTACCTAAGTATATCAAACTCCATGGGCTCTCCTCCTGTCAGCACACGAGTCCATACAGGGTTTCATGTCCACTGTGAAAGATCTCTGGGAGGGTTCCATAAGCATTCTCCTTCCTCCCAGACAGTCACCACTCAGAAACAGCTCACAATTTTCATAAAATGCTACGTTTTGCTGTCCATCAACCTTATTCTGCATAACTTGCAGAATATCTTTGGCACAATGAAGAATTTGCAACCAAAGAGCCCAAATACTACACAGTCCATAATAACTCCTTATGTTATAAGCAGGCTCCTGGTCACTGGCCAGCAGCCGTGCCCCACATGCCCAGCAATAAAAACAGTGTTCAAGCCCCACGAGAGCACCTGTCATTTCACAGCATGCCCTTGTGTGACAAGGACATTAGATACAAACATAAAGCAGAGGGGCTGGAAGAAGTGTCTGACCCATTAGCAGACATCACTGAAGTAGATAGCCTCTGGAGCATTAGAGACCATTTCACTATCAATTATGTGGTACCCAAAGCAAGAGATAAACTAAGACCAGGAAAAAGAGGTAGAGACAGGTTGAAAGAGTGAAGGCCTTGGGGTCTTGGGCCCTAAAGTTCAGTGTTAACTTGTGATTCATAGTAAGGAGTATTTTCATCCCCACATGGGATGCAGGCAGAGCTCTAGGAAGAGTGGGATCCAACACTGATGTCAACACCAAGGGAGACCATGAGCATCAGTGGACTGTCTCCTGGTACTCACCAGCACACTTGGTTCTTGTTCTCAGAGCTGGCCCAGGAGACCCAGTGCCGCCCTCCCCTGGTCTGGTGAGAAGCACACTGATCTCATACTCCGTGTCTGGGTCAAGGTGTCCAATTTTGTAACTCGTGGAATCCACCGGCTGCCGATCATTCCAGCTCCCACTGGCTGTGCAGTACTCGACCTCACGAGCCACAATGGGCCCATCCCCATTGATGGAGTTGGCGTTGAGCTGTATCCACAGATAGGTTGCTCCCACAGAGGCAAGCTGGGGTGGCGCAATGGGAACAGGTGGCTCTGAAAACAAACCGGAGAGTTATGTTTCAGGTGTTTCCGTATTCAGTTGATAAAGAACTAAACATGCATCCATGATGACAGAGTAGAAGATATTAGAAAATTAAGCACTGAACTGATGAGAGGGGCTTCGCGCTGTTCAATACGTGCATTGCAGTGGTAATGATTTAAGCAAGGTTCAAACCTTACCTTTCAGAAAGTAATGAGGGGGCTGGAGAGATGGCTCAGTGGTTAAGAGCACTTGTTAATGTTGCAGAGGACCTGCATTTGGCTCCAAGTACCCACATGGTGGCTCACAGCCGTCTATAATGCCAGATCCAGGAGACCTGTGGACCTAATGCCTTCTGATCTTCTAGGGTGCACATACACACGTTCAAGAAAACCACTAACACACATACAATAAATAACTCCAAAGCAATAAAAAGAACAAAGCCAGCTTGAGCCCAGCACCTGCATTCTCAGCTACTTGTGAAAGAGGCAGGAGGCTCACTTGAACCAATCAAGGCAAAACAAGACACTGTCTCTAAGTGGGAAAGAGAACAAAAAACAAGGTACGGCTGTGGCTCCTTGGTAGGGTGCCCATCTAACATACCAGAGGCCCTAGGTTTGATCGCCAGCACTCCAGAGTGGGTGCGACGGTGCACACCTGAAATTTCTACACTCTAAAGCCAGAGGCAAGAGCGTCAGAAGTTGAAAGTAATCTTCAGAGGCTACACAGTGAGTTTGAGGTTAGCCTGAACTACACGAGTTACTATGTGAGAACAACAACAAAACCACCCACCTAATTTGTTCAACTGTGTATGTCCATAATCAATCTTAGGACACAATACATAAACATATTTTACATCAAAGATGTTTTTTTTTTCCTTGTGAACTGAAGTCACTACTGAAGCTTCTCTTGAGCAGCAGGATCTAACAGCAGGACATAGTCCATTGTCAGCCTTCTTGCTGAGACTCTCTGCAACGTCATCAAAGGCATGAGGGTTTTATACATCATTGAAATGAGTTGTTACATGCCTGTTATCCCAGCAGGTGGGATGGGAGGAGGCAGGAGGAACAGAAAGTCAAGACTACCCTTGGCTACCTAGGGAATTTGAAGCCACATTTCCTTATGCTTATATCTGCCACCATTTTAAAAGCAAGGAAGAAACTATAGTTTCTCTCTCCAAAAATCCATTTCTGAGGTGACTTATTTTCCCTAAAGATGTCACAATGGGCTGATCTAACTGGTAGGGAATTGAGCATCCAGATTACAAAGTCTGCTCCTGCTATCATCAAGGTCGCTCCCAGTATGAGTTTTCCTAAAGCCAGAATAGCTGAGAATTGAACACACTACACCCAGCTTGATAAAAACCAAAGACACCAATATCAAACACTCCCTCTAACTGGAGGGTCTCCTGCACGGAGGCTGGCTGTTTTCCTCTTCACTGGCTAAGAATGGGGAGGCTGGCCACCATACCTATAAAATAGCTCCCACATTATTAATCAGATGCCAGTTGAATGACTCTCCAGGACCCAAGTGAAGGAACTCTGCATGCCACTGATAAGCTAAGTGAGATCATGTAAAAAAAAAATACATATTTTGCACTGGTGAGCCAGTGTTGTGTCTCCTCAGCCACGGGAGACAGAAACTCCACCAGACAGGAGTAGGATTCTCACACCTCTCACAGCTTTTCTGATGGAGGCTACATCTAGCCACTCTGGTTCAGCTGCGATGTGGCAGGACCAAGGGCTAAATAAATGACCTGGCATTTAAAGTTTTAAAATCTGGAAAGGCCAGTCCTACTGTGGAGTCCCAACTGATAATTATGGATACTAGCTTGGCCAACACAAACACCTGTGGTGATGTATTATTTATGATTTATTAAAGCTTGACTGAGGATTCAGAAAAGCACAGTCAGCCACAAGCCTTGGAAGGCAGGCACACAACTTTAATACCCAGCAGCCAGAAGCTAGGATGTGGTGGTACACACCTTTCATCCTAGGTCTGGGGATTAAGAGGTAAGACATATCTCTGTGAGTCCAAAGCCACCCAGATCTACACAAGAGTGCATCCGTCTGAAAGAGGATTATAGCTCAGACCTTTAATCCCAGCATTAGGGGAGTACATAAGACAGAAGCAAGGTCTCAGAGAGATTCCTTCTCTAGCCACACTGAGGAGAAGTAGCAGTTGGAGATTTGGTGAAGAACTCCTACGTGGATCATCCCTTTCAGACTGAGCTAGAGGTGTGAGCTAGTGGCCTGCTTCTTTGCTTTTCTGATCTTCAGCTTGAAGTTTTAATAAATCATAAATAGTGTATCACTACAAACACTGCTATCCCCCTCCACATCAGGGTCTGACACCCACCACGCCCAGTTCACTCTTTACACATATGTGGTTTCTGCCACTGAACTTCCCATTGGCCCTGTCGTTAGGTGGCACGTCCATGGCCTGTGTCTTCTTAGCTTATTCTGGGATGCACACCCAGTATTCTTTAAAAGTGGCTGAAAAGATGGATGAATTGCTAATAGGAACAGTCCACATTGGTGGCACCACATTTGTGATCTATATTCAAGAAATGCAAAATAAAGGTATAAATGTAAGGCACAGGCTGGAAGAAGTGGCACGGGGTATAACACATAAATCTGACATTCCAACCCTACCACCAAAATATTGAAAAATAAAATAACTAAAACAAATATTATTTGTCTCCCACAAGAAAAACTGGGGTGGCCTGTCATAGTTGTCTAAAAGGCCAACATGGTGCACATGCAAGTTCAAATTATTCTATCTGGCACCAAAATTCCATTAGTAGCTTGATGGGATAAACTCTTCTGCCCACACAAAAAAAGAAAGCATTAAATGAGCTAAAGGAAAATTATTTCCCTTCCGTTTTTTACCTCTCATCTCCCACCTTCTTGAATATAATGACTCAATTTTCCAGTCACACAGAATACAGTAATAGACACTAACTGGAACATTATGAGAGCTAAGACAGTGTTATCAATATGGCTTCCATGATATAACAGGGCCTTTTTATACAGACACTGCTTCATTTTATTAACCATCTTGCTATCATAAACACACTGCCTGGTGAATATTTGCATTTTAAGTGATTTTTCTATCAGAAAAAATTTTATTCCTTAAAAAATTTTATAGGTTGTAATCTGTATCCACAGAGCTGGCACACATCCTGGCTGACAGCATAGCCGCTGCTCTGTGCACTACTAAACCAGCGTCAATCACATACATTTTTCAAAAGCAGTGCTCACATGCAAAATCTGTACTTAAAATGCAATCCATCAACTCAACCAATCACCCAACTACTATTCAGAAACAGACAGGACAAGTTAGAGCATAAACAAAGAATGAACAAACAGCCATGGAAGCGTGTCTATTTTAATAGACTATTTGAAGGTATAAAGAATGCATTAAATACCTTTAACTACCAATTCTGCATAGTTTGATATGCCAACGCCTCCTTCTGTGCGAATCATACAGCGGTACTTCCCAGCATCCCGCTTGGTCGTGTTGACAACATTAAATGAGGCTATGAATCTTCTGGAACTCGTCACTTTTATCTCCTTCAAAGGGGCGTCTCGGACATCAATGCCCTGCATCATCGAGCGTGGAAAGGACAGAAAGAAGCAATATCAGTGGTCATATCAAAACATCGATACACCTGATGGCAATTATCAATGTGTGTTTATCCCCAACAGCAATTCTGCCCCATCAACAAAATGAAGATTGAAGGCTCCAAAATTAAATGTGTAGAAATGTGTTGCTTGTACCTTTTAAATGTGTTACATTAAATAAACTGAGCAGGGGAGAAAAACATACAAAACCTTTTTTTAAAAAAAACTTTGCTTTCTATAAAATATTTGGTTCTTCATAAGACCTTATCCTGTATTTTTATTCTTTGTTAGGAAACAAAATTAAGACACCAACCACCCTATAACTAACTCAATTTCTCTATGAGAAACCAAATAATTACCAAGACTAACACTCAAATCTACAGTGGGTACCATCACCACAACCTCAGTGATGGACCCAGAGGACTAACACAAGCTTTATGATGTTTCATAAAATGAGGGTGAAGTCTTCCTGTATTCCCTGTACTCCAGTCCCCACGAGACAGCTTCTACTTCGGGGAAGCTTTGTTTTTTATTATCCCTATACAGCAAGTCAAACTTTCATTTCCAGCTCTTGGAAATCCAATCATTGCAAGAGATGAAAGCAAAAGAGGACAAATTCAGTTCTGCATTTTTAGTAAATCTTGGGACATCTGCTACCTTCTCTAGGCTATTTATATTAGTGGAAAACAACAGCCCAAGATCAAGGGTCACATATGATGCCAAGCCCTATGTCCGTTAGTCATCCAGAAACCATGCTTGGGGCGCCAGGATGTGCTATTATTGAATCAGATACCTGGGGGCCAAATGCTGAACCACCAGTAGACATCCACCAATGATGATTGCCTGAGAGGTAAAGGGGAAGACGGTTGGCTGGCAGAAGTCACAGCGGGGAATGGCTGCAGATCCTGTGGGTTTGAGGAAGTGATGTGTGCATAGAGGGTGATCAGAAAGCAGCCAGAAGGGAGAGTTGAGGGAAGACCATTCTAGTCACACAAACCAGTAAGGGAAGCCCAATGTGATCAGAAAGACGGGCTGAAGTGACAGTAGCAAGAAGAACTTGGATTTGAAGACTATATTAATATGTTTTCATTTGTTGCTATAAAAACGCAAGGCTACACAATGGTAAAGCCCACCTCCATGGCTCAGTGACTTGTACCACACAGATAAACAAACAAAACAGCATTTATCTTTGATACTTCGGGTCAGTCAGTCTTAAGAAATGTGAGTTTGGGGGTTAGCCTAACTGAGGAGCTAAGCATAATCTCATCATTAAAAGTGATTGTGTCTTCTCGGGCATCCACTTTCCTTACCCAAAAGGAGATGATGCAATTCAGTCTCAGAGCCACTGTGAGACTTGCAAGATGTATGCAAGGACACTGACATCGTGATTGGCAGCACACATCCCCATTTGAGCCTTGGACAAAATGAGCAGTGGATTCCAGGAGAGAACCCCACCTTTGTGTCTGATACACGGGTGGCTGCAGCCTCAGATTACAGTGTGCAGAAGCCATGGGCTTGCTGACACTGAAGCATGGAATGAAACAGACTCACTCACCCAGTCACTAGCAAAGGACAAGGCCCCCACAGTGAGGTGCCGCTGTAAAACACGCACTAAACGGAGGCACAGTGTTCTCACAGCAGTTAGCTCCTCAAAGACAGGATTGAGCTACAAGCTTTGCATTCTCCTAGGCAGCTCCCGCTGGGATAGGGCGAGAGCAGTCAGGAGTGCTGCATCAACACAGTTCCTGCTCCTTGGAAGGAAACCTCAGGAGTGGGGATGAAGTGTTCCGCCTGCATTGTTTTGGGCAGTAGCTGTAAAAGTAGCTTTATTTATACCTTAAAAAGTAGCAAATAAAAATATAAACACGTATGTCTTAATTGAGTGTTTTACTAAACTAAAACTTTGGTCTAACAAATAGCACCCTAACATAAAAAAAAAGAACACAATAAGATTTGGCATTAACAATGCATCAGGAGAAAGGAAGCAGCCCTCTCTGAATTCCATACATTTGCTCTCTGGTAAAACCTCATAATTCAAATATTGCTAACGGAAGAGACCTGATACCTATAGCCTTCAAAAGTGGGATGTTTCATTTTTCAAATTGACATAAGTGAAATCGTAAACTTTTGTTAATCAGTGAAATAGTACACCCTATAGAAAGTCAAACTGTGTGTTGGCAAGATTTGGTTACCAACAGTGTGACGACTAAAGGCCAGGGGATCGTCTATTGTTCTATTTACTTATGCATATGCCCACAAGAATAAACTTTTTTAAAAAAACATTTTATTTACTTATTTTTCATTCCAGTAATAATCCTGCAATACTTTTCCTAGCAGAGGTGCTCCCTGACCCCTGACCATAGCTCACGCTTACTTTGGGTGCCAAGGGAAGGGCTCTCCTTTTGCATCAATGTTTCTGCTTGGAGAAGCAGCCCTTGTGAGCCACTCTTCCTTCATGCTGTCTATAGCATGGCAAGATGCAGAGCTCCACACATCCAGCGCATCCATGAACTCTCAGGAAGGAATCTTTACATGAAGACCCCACATACTCAACCACACCAAGAAATTCAGCACTGGGACAGGGGAGCCTGAACCAATAAACATCGTTACTGCTCTAGATCCACACAGGCAACCAGACCATGCCCCTTAAACAGACAGGCGGCCTTCCTCTTGCTATGTGAAATGTGAGGCACACTATTGCAACCTCTCACTCCTTTAGACTAAAGGATATGTCAGAGGTTCTAGGTGCCTCTCGGCTAACAATCTCACACAACTCATCATGGACGAGGTGGGCAGAATGGAGGAGTCTCCGATAGCATCTACATTCCTGTCGCCAGAATGTAAGAATGTACCCTTCCAGTGCTAAAAGAAAGCTTGCTCCTGTGATGAAAAGTGATTAAGAGACTGGAAGACATGCTGGGTTGTCTGGGTGTCCTATGGCCATCAGTGGGTCTTCAGGAGAGAAAATGAAACTCAATGCAGAGGAGACATGGGATGGAGAAGAAGCGATCTGAAGAGGAAATGAGGAACTAGAGACAAGACATGAAGGAAGAAGCTGGAAAAGACAAGGCACAGGTCGCCCCTGAGATTCCCAGAAGAAATCAACCAAGCTGACACTGTACATTGAGGCCTTCTGCTCTTGGGAAGCTTAAGACAGTGAAGCCAAGGAGTTTCTGGCGTTTTGTTACAGTCGCAATAAGAAAATAATATAGCAACCACTAGGGTAATGAAATGTCACCTGGCTTTTGATGTTGTATAGACATTGTGACCTTAATTCCCAGCTCTGTTCAAAAAACGTTTAAGGTCATGTTGAGTCTTTTGTAAAAGAAAGAGTTCAACCCAAAGCTATCACTGAAGCCAAAAACAAAAGGACAAAGGTGGGCCCATACTTCTCAACCTCAAAAACTTAGCAGAAAACATTAATCAAACGGACATCGTGGGCTTGGCATGAGGGCAGACATGGAGTGAAGGAATGGAATGAAGAGCCCAGACACAAAGCCTCACAGATGTCACCCATTGACGTGCGTCAGGGATTAGACCACTCATTTGGGAAAGATTGGTGTATTCAACAGTGGTAGTGGAGAAACTGGATAGGCACTGATCCAAAAAAAAAAAAGGAATTAATTTTTAGCTTTGTCATATGCAAGAGCTAAGTCTAAATCAATCAAACACCTAACCTCAGGAGCTAATATTATAAATCAAGGGAAAATTTCAACCATCTGAGGTATGGCACTGGTGTTCTTAACTGCTATGCCAAGATCATAGTAATCAGGACTATATCAGAATCACACATTTCACTGCATAAATAATCACAATTTGGATGGGGAAACAGCTCAGTAAGCAGGGTCATTGCTCGGTAAGCTTTAGGCCGGGAGTTCAGATCCCCATGACCCCCCCCCCGTAGATGCCAAGTGGGTGTGACAGCCCACTGTAATCCAGTGCCGAAGACACAGGGACAGAGAATCCTGGGAGCAAGCCAGATAGCTAGAACAGAAATAGAGAGCTCTAGGTGCAGTGAGAGACCCTGCCTTGACAGTCAATATGAGGAGCAATCAAGAAAAACATCTACTGTCAGTCTTGGGTTTGTACACACATACCTCGCACCCATGGGAACACACAAATACCCATGCACAAATGTGTATGCAAACAAAAAGGAATTGCCCAGAAAGTAAAGTATCAGCCCGCAGTGTGGGAAAAGCCTTTGTAAATTATATAGCTGAAATCCTACAATTCATCAACAACTATTAAAAATTTTCAGTTAAATACTGGGCAAGGGACTCTTTCTCTGAAGAAGAAATGCACATGGCCAACTGGCACACACAAAATTATGTTCAGTGTCATCAGTCATTAGGTAAACATAAATCAAAACCACAATGCCATACCAGTTCACACTAGGTAAGACAGCTTAGTGTCAGGTACATAGAAACTACCAAGCGCAGGACAGATGCAGGAAACTGGGACCCTTGCACATGGCTGCTCAGAAATGGTGGAGTCATTGTGGAAACATCACTGTTCTACAAAAAGATAAAAGTAAAATGATCATAGGACCCAGCAATTCTACCATCTGAAGGCAGAACTGAAAGAGGCTCTCAGAGTCTTGATGCTATTCGTCAAGACAGCACCAGTCACAGTGGCCAACACGTGGAAGCAATCTCACTTTCCACCAATGGGAGAATTAATGAGCCAGGAGAAATACACACACAGAATGGAATCTCATTTGGTCCCAGAAAGAAAGGAAATTCTGACAAATGCTACAACGTGGAAGATCCTGAAAGACATTACGTTAAGTGAAATGCATTAGTCATAAAAGGCAAACACTGTCTACTTCCACTTGTGTGGGGAAAAAAAAAGGGATCTTAAAAACTAAATACTTTTGTCAATTATAGATATATATCATCATGACTTTAGCATACTGTAGATTTTTTTTGAATGTCAAGCTTTATTTTAAGTAAAATCTGAACTGATGGCCCAAACCATAC